CCTCAGTCTTACAGTTCCCATTCTACGCTGGAGAGTAAAAGCAGCAGGTGTAGCGCTTAGTCGATTCCACTTTCAAACAAAACCACTTGGTGTCAAAACAGTGAGACCGGACGCAGCTAAGCGTAGCAGTAAGTCACGTATGGTAGGCATCTGGGAGAAGTCAAAAAGGCAGCGGATGACCAAGTCTTGGATATTATTATTTCCTAGTACGGGTAACCATATTAGGAATGGTCTAACATTAATAATGAAAAGGCTAGCGTGCTAAAAACTGTACATCAAAAAACTATCCAAACTCCTACAAAATGAAAATAAAAAGACAGAGTTTTGTTTGGAAGAATAATTGTAAGGCCTGGATCTTTTGAAATTTGTGTTCCTGAGTACAGATGAGAGATCACGTGGTCTTTGTCGCACTTCAAGACAAAATTGTACCCTGCAGATACCGATCAAGAGCTATGCTTGCGAACAACATCATTCCGACATGACGGTTGTCACGAAAGAAGCCAAAGCAGCTAGCTGGGTTGTGTAGCTCAGTCTTGTAGAGCTAAAATTAATTAATAAAAAACAGTGGGAGTGCTGAAGAGTTAAACAAAGTATGCATAATCGAAAATATGCAGAATTAAAATAAAAAATATCGACAACATAATTTTAACACTAAAGCATGTTGAATATATGGGCTTCACCGATCCGGTAGAGGAAGAATTAAGTTCCACTTCGCTTAGGAGCTCACAATTAGAGTCCGCGCAGGCAGTCACATAGCGACTATGAGGATAGGATGGAATTGATCCGATAAAGCAAAGGGAGACTAAGCATGTTGGTTAAAAAAGCTTTTGTGCTGTCCATCGACCAGCCAACACTGGAAATTGAGGTAACGCTTGTCGAGGGGCGATAAGTTCACGAATTTCACCTTTTTACCGGTTAAGGCGGATTATAATAATCGAATTAGGCCGGGATATCGAGTTGCAGGACTCTCTGGTTGGTTTAAGTTCCCATATGCATTACGAATGCCAAGGCGATGGGCACGTACATGGCTCAGGCAAGCGTAAGTTTACCACTGGCTCATGCGAAAAGTAGAATTGAATCGCATCGTTTACAACCGAAAACTTGAACTTCGACCCACTTTGTCAGAGAAACGGCTGGTGAAAGACAGCATCATCGTATATCATTGCCCATTGTGTATTCGATCCAGGTCTGTAGAATGCTGCTTAAAAACAAGCATTATCAAAGATGTCGAAAGTTACGATCCCAGCACTAGAGATTGTGAAGATTAATCATGCGGTTCATATGCTGACCGTTGAGGAGCAAAGCAAAAGCCATCAAAGGTCTCGTCAAGTTACCGATTCTACGCTTAGACTTAAGCGCTTTGTTAACGCTATAAACATGTTCGTCGGGCACCGAAAAGAAGCATGTATAAGTTCAAAAAACGAACAAGCTCGTATAAAACCCGTTGGAAATACCCAAGTGTACGCATGTGTAGAGGGCTTACGAGCGGTATTCACTGGCTAAGTTGCGGCTACAAGAGAACCATAACGCTGTGCGAGACACAATATCCCGCAACCCTGACGTTTAAACTAAAAGTGGTAATGAGAGACTGAAAACGTCTT